CCAGAGCGGTGGGAGATGCCCCATCCCTGGAAACCTTCAAGGCCCGGCTGGACGGGGCTCTGAGCACCCTGATGTGGTTGAAGCTGTCCCTGCCCATGGCAGGGGGATGGAGGGGATGGCCTGGAAAGGGCCCTGCCAGCCCAAAGCCTTCTGTGGTTCTGTGAACAGGACGGCAAGCTTCTCCAGCAGTTCAGCTGGGGCTCCTCACTTAGGAAGCGAAATGGGAGCTGGGAGCCTTCGACTCCGGCCTGAAACCTCTGACGTGGCTTCACCAAAGCCTCTGGGTGTCTTGGACTGCGCCAAGAAAAAGAGGGGAGAGCCGGAGGTGGAGTCTGGGTTGTGTTTTGTTGCTTGAAAAGGCGCTAAGCTTGTGTTCTTCTTCCTGGCCTTGCCTCCCAGATGGTGGGAATTGGGACGTCGGATGTGAACCTGGACAAGTACCGCCACACCTTCTGCAGCCTGCTGGGCAAGGACGAGGACAGCTGGGGGCTCTCCTACACAGGTAACGCAGGCAGGGCAGCAGCAGAGGGCAGGAAGGGCAGCAGCGGGCGTAAGTGCTGTCCTAAGGGGTTGAGAATTAAATGATCTGAAGGGGGTGGAGGTCAAAAAGGCCCCCAGACCTGCGAGTCCCTTTGTCAACGACAACCGGAGCGGCCGCCTGCAGCTCGCAGCTCTTGGACCATCTCGCCTCGCCTGCGTTGTGCAGACGCCTTAGGACCGGTGCGTGAACCTCCGGGGCGCCTGCGCTGCTGCTTGCACGTCACTGATTGGGGGTTTCAGCGCTGCTGCCCGCGCTCTGGTATTGCAAAACCTCAGCTTTCCCCTTTTCATCGCCCGCTCTGGGGTGGGAGGGCAGGGATCAGGCAATGGAGGGATTTTTTAGGCGCTGAGCGAGGCTGTTGCAGTGGGAACTCACAGCGCGGGAGCTGGGATGAATTCGTGGAGCGCAGGCTTTCCACCGAATGCCATTTTTGTTGTTTTAAGGACTACTGCATCACAAGGGAGACAAAACGAACTTCTCGTCGAGGTTTGGCCAAGGCTCCATCATCGGGGTGCATTGGGACACGTGGCACGGGACGCTCACGTTCTTCAAAAACCGCAAGTGCATCGGTAAGAGGCAGGGCAGCCGCAGCAGCCTGCGGGCAGCGGGGCTGGGAGCGGGTGGCAACGCAGCCTGGAAGTGGAAGAGCAAGGTGTGAAGCGAGCAGGAAGAAGGGTACATTTGTTTGAGAGGCATTGAAAGGACCTGTGGGCTTGCAGAGGTCCCAGCTCTGTGAAACGGGTAAACTGCAGCCCAGTGTCTGTGCTTTATCTCCTGAATTTGCGATGGCTTGGATAGCCTCTTCCCGAAGCATCCCTCTTCTCTGCAGACTGTCCGCAGAGACAACATTTAAGGTGGCCTCGCAGTTTCAAGGTGTGCTGGACTCCAGTCACGTAACGGACTTGAGTCCTCAAAAGGCAAAATCAAAGACCACCTAATTTTACACTTATTGGTCCCCTCCTCCTGACTGCTGCGCGTTGGTCTGGTCTCTGCGATGAACTTGTCGCGCGGTGGGGCGCGATCGAGCCGCAGCGCGTAGGGAAACGGGCTCCTAGGGGTGCATCTGCGTCGCTGTGGTGAAAGAGCAGCTGCTTACACGAGTTGAGCTGTTGGTGATCTCTCTCGAGCCCCCGATGACTTTAGTAGCAGGAGCCAACATGCAAAACAGCTTCTCCTGTATCAAAGACTGTATTAAACTGTAATAATAAAAGCAGAAACTGTCTTTCGTTGCCCTGACGGCCCTTGAAGGCAGGAACGCGAAGGCACTTGTCCGAAATAGCCACGCTAGCCCAGCTGCCAGCCCAGAGGGGAGGTTTCAAATGCAGCGCCTGTTTGTCAGAGCTCAAGGAGGTAACGGCAGCGGAGATTGCCTGGCCCCCGCCCCGCGGAGGGTTCTTGTGCTTCTCGCTGAAACGCCAGGCCGGCGGGGACGGAGCTGCAGCGGAGGCAGACGTCTGCGTACTGGAAGGGAGGCTGTGGGGTGCTGTAACGCCTGTCCTGTGGGACAAACGGCTCCGAACCCCACCCCAGCGCCCGAGAGTCAGCGCAGAACAGCCCCGCTGAGGCTTCTCAGTTGGGAAATGCTGGGT